TTCGTATACTGCATCCCAGACAGTTCTGCTTAGTCTTAGCTCGAGAGCTATATTAAGTTTGAACGTTTCATCGATCCAAATGTTTTAGTTATTGGGCGTGTACTCGTCCGATGTTTTGGATTCAAAAGGAGGCATTGGTGATCCGATCGACCTAAGGGAGGAAGATGTTGCACTTCTTTAAACAGTGGCGACATATTAGTCATTATCTGATCTAAAGTATTGTTCTGGCGAGTTGGTTTCTTAACAATTTTACTCAAATCAAAACAATTACATAATGTTCCTAATTTCATTTTGTTAAAGTCTCCAGCGATTACAATTCCAGCAGAGGGATAGCTTTGTAGAATAAAGTCGATTCCATTAATAAGATAATCAATCATATAGTTATCTTATTTATAGCCGCTTGACCTGGGGGATAATAGATTGCAACCATAACAATGCAACTGAAAGGCCTTGGAAGTCTTTGTGGTTTCAACAATAGCCACAGAGCCTCTTTTCCTTCCTCTTCCATGTCAAACAAGCGACTAGAAGGTATTACACTTTTAACATAAGTAATTAAACCGCCGCCAGGTGTTCTTCTATCTTTTCGGTACGGAGTATAGTTAGATCCAATAGATATAACTCCATCGTATATGCTGGGATCTAGCCAGATCTCAGAAATACATATAAGGTCAGGATCATTAATTTCCGCAACTGAGCTGAGCTCATCCATTGTATTCAGAATGTGACAAGCATTAGTTAAAAATAATGAAGGAACAGTCTGTTTATTCGTTTTTATATCGGTAGATATCTTGATACAGTTCGTAGGCTCATGGGACATTCTTCTATCAGAATAAAGCGTATTAATGTGTGGAGTGGTGCTCGCGGTTTTAGAAAATAGTTGTTGTCGATGAGAAATTCTTGTCGGAAATCGGCATTTTTATCGTTTCATGGTGTGATGGACAAGCTTCAGGTGATTGATCCAGTCCTGCTTGTGACAGCGACAGCGTGTTAATTAAACGTGTCCGCTATTTCCAATTGAGCTTTAAAAAATAATTGTCATTCTTATACGATTCCGGGCAGCTGATACTATTTGGCCGCTGAACTGGTTGCAATTTAGGTTTTCCTTCTATGAGAGGCAACCGCTCCATCCAATCTACTGGGAGACATTTACGCTTAGTATTTTTTGACATAGGTTGTATTGGGGGCTTGATGGCATTCGCCGTCATTCTAGCATCTGTTGTCTTCATGGTAGATGTTTGTGAAATATTTTGCTTAGCAGACTTGAGAGTACAAGATGCCTTGTTAATCATAGTTAAGTGCAAACGTCATCCAATAAGAAGCGCCTATTTGAGAGTTAATCACTATTTAACTACAAAATAGTGATTTAAAAAGTGATTAAGAGTTTTATACAACTGGCCCCTGATCTTTAAACGGCACATTGCATTTTAAATCCGGACACCGGAGGCAAGGACCTTCGAATTTAAAAATTTTAGACCCTCCTTTGGAATTTCCAGAAACAAGGTTTTTCATGGGGGTCCCTTGGAATTTCCAAGCATTTTTTGAAAACTGCCCCCTGGAAATGCATTATTTTTACCCCCTCCCTTAGAATTTCCGAGCCACTTGGAAGATGACATCCACTTGCCTGGAATTTCCAAGTGAAAAACTTGCCCCCATTCCTGGAATTTCCAAGGTCCTCCCCCTCCCCCTCGTGTACGGATGTTTTTATATGTTTCTGCAGGAGGTACTAGCGTAATGCGGACTACGAAGAACACGAAGTATATACCAGCCCTCGGCGTATTACCGCTCTATTTTGATCACAAGCATTGCGGGCTCATAATCAAACCCGCGAAGTATAAAATATAAATTGAACGTGTTCTGAGGCTCGAAGCTGCATTTCCCAGAAAAAATCTTAAATTTTGTGCATGAAACCGAAGTCGACGTCGCGAAATTGAGGTATGTTATTACTCAGCCTATTTCTATAGTTTTTTACATCGCAGCTAGGAAATAAACCCCAGTTGTTTAGTATACATTAGCACATGACCTTTCATGTTATGAGTGTATTTTGTTCATGTTCGCGTTAATTTTTATGAATTTGGGCCTTTGAATTTACTCAAATGCTGTGGAGTTATTAAAATGAGACAGATATATTTCCTTGCAAGATTATACATTTTTGTTTGCTTCTGTGTATCTGTTGTAATGTTCAATGTTGTAATCTATATATTATAGTATTTAAGTGTATTTTATGATACCATTTCAGGTATTCTTTATAGATTTATTTTACAGCTTGTGTATTAGTTCCAAAAGTGGTGTTTCAATGCAGTGAATGTTTTTATTACCATATTTCTACCCTAGGTTATATTAAATAAATATTTTCCATATGCATGTATTTGTCATGTCAATTGAATTCATAAAATAATCTGTGTTTTCTGTAGTTGGGTTTACTGTCAAATTGACAGTGATTTCTGTCTGGTTATCAGTTGACGAGATGACTAAATATTTTTTTAGAATGGTTAGAAACTACATAAGGAAGACTGATCGTGCAAATTGGTCAGAGGAGCAGATGAAGATTGCTATCTTGGCCGTTGAAAAGCTTCTGTTGCCTTTGCAGTTCCTAAGGATTCCCTAAATCATAACGTCAAAGGTGAAATGTTATCCATGGATAAATTTCGGATGAATGAATGTATAAACAGAAACATATTATTCTTTTCGAATGTTAAATGACAATGGTAACAAAAAATTTTATTGTCCCCTTTTGAAAGGACGTTTAAAATTGTCTCTGACATTTGTTACAAAATTTTCATATCAAGCAATATTTGCAATATTTTGACTGGAAACAATGAACTGTCCGCCATCTTGGATTAATTCTTAACCTCATTAACTAGTACTATGGTTTTGATGACGTCAGGGCGGGGTATAAGCCTAATAAAATTACTTCTATGTTACCGAGTAACGACCAAAGTTGTTTAAAATGTGTTTATTCAATTGTAAATTTGAAAAATATATCAACTGAAAAATTTGTCTACGAACGAGAGACGGGCGGTATCAGCTATGATAAGAGAATCATTTTGAAGCGCACATGAAATAGCTTGAAGCACACATGATCAAGAGAATTAGCTTGACGCGCACACGTTCTTTCCATCAATGACATAGGACCTTTGTGTATGACTATTGTCAAAGGAACGATTTTAATTCTGACAATAAAATGGCTGGTTGGGACTTTGTTGCTGGATTTCTTAAGCGCCACCTTAAGTTGTCCCTTCGAAGACTGGAACATGGCAACACAGAGTCCAAGTCATGAGCAACCATCATCTTTTGAAGCTCAAACCAGAGAATTATCATCTGTGATTGAAGAAACAGTACCAATACTACCTGTCCCCTTAGAGTTCAGAAATTCACCATCTTTCCCAAAGAACCACCTGTGGTAGACCAAGGTGAACTATCTTCACCGCAATATGTCAGCTTCTCTATGATCATGACATGAAGTTACCCTCCCTCACCATGTAGAAAAAATCAAAGTGGTCAGAAGAGTTTGAGATAGTTACCAGTTCACCATACAAGTAGTCTCTTGTTGAAAGCATGTTTGAACAAAGCAAGGAAACCGAGCAAAAACTTTTTGGCACAGAAAAGAAGGCAAAGAAAGCTAAAGGTGCAACAACCGAAGACCAAGATTAAAGCTAAGATGGATACCAGGAAGGCGAAGAAAACTGAGAATGTTAACACTGACATTGTGGAAGATTCACAATGTCCAATGTGTGATAGATTTTGGTCGGAACACAGTTAATTAGGCTGGCCATTGACGTCACGAAATATGTTATTGTTCACTTTTTATTTTGGTCATGTGACCAATATCGTGCATCGATGCTGAAAGCGCATATACAAATAACAATATAATCGCAGACTCGAGGGCTGTTTTTTGCATATAATCTCGCTGTCCAAGCTCTCAACCACTCGATCAACACAGAGAAATGTAATGCCTGCCTCAAACTGCGTTTTTTACGGGTGTTCGACAAGTAGAAAGTATAAACTTTCGACATTTTGAATCCCTAACTGTCGCCTCCTCAGATAGCGACTATACGAAATCTTTGAAGCAAAATGCGCGAGCAGATTGGCTTCGTTTAATATTAACACTGTTTATAAGAACGAGACAATCGACGCCTGAGTTACAGAAGAGGATTGACGCTAACCATATTTATATTTATGAGCTTCATTTTAAGCAAGAATATATTTTAACCGGTGCGTATTTTCTGTGGAAACGCATACATATCTTACAAATATCTGTAATTTGATAAACATACAAAGCGTGTACTGTGTTTTGCTCAAAATTTACATATTTCAGGACTACGAAAAACGTTTGTTACTGACAGCGTTCCCACCGAAAGACTTCCGGAAAGAATTTATGCATTACCCAAACGCGAGCGCCGAAAACTCGTGCGAATTGAGCTTGAAATTTCCCATGAATTCCGGTGCAAGACACGGCGTTGACTTCAAAAATGCAGTCTAATATCAAAGAACTGTAACATTTAACTTGCTAGCCGAGTACATTTGTTTGGTACTTTAAGATACAAAATTTAGAACATGCGCATTTTTTTATTCCGTATTGCATAAATGTGCTCAGCCTCAGTGCATGGGCATGCTATATATTGCTTTGACTGGATATACAAAACACCTGTACTTATACAATTTTCAGCCATATACTATAGATATTAGGGTTACAATACTATGTGGCGAACATTGATGTGGTTAAAGATATTTCAAATGTTCCTTCTTTGATACACATGTGACATAGCATATCTGGATGATCTGTCGTATAACTGATACAGCAAGACTGCATGCATGCATGCAGGCAAAAAATTCTTGATCTTGTACAATGACAATGTCAGGTCGATTCAGATACAATTATGATAGGCTATATTACAAAGGTTTTAAAGGTTTATTATATGTCAATTATTGACAAATCTAGCAAAGAATGAACAGATTGAACAGTCATTTACATTACAGGGTTATATATCATCACAGTGATATCATAAGTTGAAAAATTTACATATAAGCAATAACCCGTAAAAATCTTCTAACATTTTGTCCTGATTTGTCATGAGGAAAGACTTGTTCTTACTTGACGAGACTTTCTTGAGAGCAGAGTTTATATCAGGTCCGAATAATTCTTCTTTTATTAGCTTTGTTTTAATGTCGATGACAATAGAAGCTAGATTCTCTTTCGAAAGACGCGTTTCCTCCTGTTCGGCAGATTTTGTTGTGCTCGAAGGTATAAAATGAACAGCATCACGATGCTGCGAGTTTGTGTGTTTCGTCAGGCTAGCCTCCCGTTTTGACTTGCAGATGTTCGTGTATTGGGAGCAGGGAAACAATATTTTACTCTCATTTTCGCTTATAGCCTCAACAAATTCAGCGTCGTCTTCGTCGCTTTCTGTATCAACAACAGAAACAACGAGGTTATATAATACATAGTCGATTGAGTCACTTGGCGTTTCGAACTCCACGTTTTCAACAACAATTTCAGGCTCGCAAAACTCCACATCTCCCTCGTTAGCCATGTCATAGTCTTGTTCACGTTCCATTTCATTCTCCATAATGTTTTCGTGGCATTTGAGCCACAAGTAAGGAAATTATATAGGATTTCATACAACGCTATTGTAATTTGACAGTGTAAATTATAGTATCGCCATTTGCACGATGCACTATATTGGTCATGTGACTATAATTTTGGCTGTGGATCGACATAATTTTCTGCTCCCTTTGAATTTTGCCGGCTAGCCTAACCAGCCTTCTTCTATTAACTGTGGTCGGAATCATCACTGGGATTTGAATGGGTCTAGTATTTCGAGTGCAAAAACTGGTTGGAAGAAGAGTGCCGTTGGTCTGTAACATTAATGAGTGTATTTAATATGTGACCATTGTGTATGCCTGCTAAAGAACTTTTAAATTTAGTTTTGTTATAGGAGTATATTATAGTTTCAATTTTTAATTGAACTGGGACAAAATGAGACATTAACTTCCGGTCGTTTTTCTTGTATTAGTCTCACATATTACTTCCAGAACATATATTTTGCACTGAATTGGTCCGCTGGACTCTACTTAACATATCAAAGTTGAAAACAAAAAGTTTAAATATACTTTTTTGCTATTTTATGACAGCCACTCTTCTCAAGCGTCTCGTTTTGCCCAAAACGCAACTGCATGAAATCTTTCTGCACTACGTTTTTGAAAGCATGGCGAGCATTTCAATTTTCACAAAAATTGCGAATGTTCAAAAGCAGCCAAAATTACACGTAATATCGCCAGCGAAACTCGATGTTATTAACTGCTAAAATTACTTACCTTGCATCAGTTTCGGCCGAATTTTCTACAGTTTTTCATGACGATAAAAATCCTTCCTTGGTTAACAACGTTAGCGCGCGATTAATTGACGTGTCATTGATAGGGGGTTCCGCAGCGATGAAGCAAGCATGGATGAAAAGCCAGAAAAGGTAAAAGCATATAATGATTTTTTCTGTGTTGGTGTGATGTACTCAGGAACTCAGGTGAATATCATGCTTTTGATGTTACTCTGAGTGTATATCCACACCGGGCAAGCTTGAAAAATATGCCTGATCATGGTGGGAATCGAACCTACGACCTTTGGAATACCAGTCCAATGCAGGGCGAAGGGAGAGAGGGCGTAGAAACGGCCATACATCGAGCGGACCCATCTGTGATGCGGGCTTCGCGGGGGGTACGACGTTCTAATTGTAAACAAATATGGCTACGCGTCTATGACCCTGCAGAAGGTATGTTGAAACTATTGCTTTATAAAATATTACTTGTGTAAAATTTATATGTTTTTGTTACTTTCAGCTACTATAAGAAACTTAAAGATAAGATTTAAGTAACAAAAAACTTTATTTCGGGTGTTATTTTATTTCTATACTCTGTTTAATTTGGTGGTTAAAAATGGCCGTCGAAATGTTGTCCGAGAGTGTTAGCGCGCACTGCTTCCTGATAAAAAACCAATGATTTCCAAACCCTAAATTATAATTTGTTATTAAGTTATGATAAAAACCTTTGCGTATACAAAATTATAGAGTGAGCAAACATGAGACAGATAGGTTTTGAACCTTTCAAAGTTCGAGGTCGAATTGACAGTTCAAATAGTACCAAACTCCAAGCTGAAATGTGCAACTAAATCGTGTATATTTTTGTCAATTTTGTTCGCTGGCTTTGTTAAATTCACTTGCAATGGCTCGACATAAGTTACAACATACAAACTGAGCAGAGCCCATGAAAGAGCTATCCATAGTCCATACCCATACAGTCATTCAGCTTCCTTGCTATTTAGAAATTGTTGCCCATTATTTGAAGAAGAATTGCTATTGTATGCGCTTGTTTGCACTTCCTTTTCTGAAAAAAGTCTACAATATTAAGGCTAAATAGCAGAAAAATATGACCCAATAATCCATGCAATTAAAAATATCTATCAAATTAACTTCAAAAATCATGATTTGGGAATTATATCTATTCAGGCAATCAACCCATAATTTAGTGACAGATCTTGGGATTGGTGTACTACAAAACTATATTGACTGAAGTTTTGGAAAAATTTAACTAAATTTTGAAGGATTGACTTGCAAACTGTGATTCAGTATCATGGAATTTTACACTTCTGGAGAAGTTGTGGCTCTGTTAGTGCCATTTCTTTCATTGTTTATATATCTTGCTTTTAAGCATTGCTCGCTTATAAAATCTTTCAATTCCTTAGGGCCTGTTTATATGATCCCGCCTAGATGGGACGTGATGTTTTCATCCCGCCAAGACAGGATACTCGCCTAGTGTTTATATGGACAAAATACATTGCCGGGATGAAACCATTCGGTGCTTGACGTCATATTTTTGTTGCAATAAAGGCATTTACGCATGCCCAAAAGGGAAAAATTCATTCTGCCTAACCGGGATGAAGTGTTTATATGGGAATTTTTCATCCCGGCTAGGCAGGATGAAGTGTTTTTATATGGGAATTTTTCATCTCGCTTAGGCAGGATCCCGGCATCTGTTGCCAAAATCCAGTCTAGGCGGGATAAGTGGCGGGATCATATAAACACTCTTTAGCATTTGTATTACGAGCAGGATCTCGGTAAGCATCCCGTCCCACCTGGCCGGGATCATATAAACAGGCGCCTAATCCCTTGATACTGAATCACAGTTTGTAATGCCCCATTTACATGAGACCAGGATGAAACCAACCTGGAATGAAAATTGAAATTGCATGTCAACATGTTTACATGAGACCAGTATGAAAATCACAAAATTTTCAATTTATTCCCCTTGCCAGGCAATTTTCTTTTTTAGATGACTTTTGTTAGCATGTGTTGTTCACTTGTTCCAATGTCAACATTCATTCCAGTCTGAATTCATACTGGTCTGAGTCAGTCGGCTTGGTCCAGCAGGCGGAATGACTTGAGACCTCATGTAAACATCTATTATATATAATCTAATGACCAAAACGAAATGGTTCCGGTTAATTGACTTCGTTTCAGTCTCATGTGAACTGGACCTAATAAAATCCTTCAAAAGTTGGCTAAATTTTTCCAAAACTTCAGTCAATATAGTTTTGTAGTACACCAATCCCAAGATCTGTCACTAAATTATGGGTTGATTGCCTGAATAGATATAATTCCCAAATCATGATTTTTGAAGTTAATTTGATAGATATTTTTAATTGCATGGATTATTGGGTCATATTTTTCTGCTATTTAGCCTTAATATTGTAGACTTTTTTCAGAAAAGGAAGTGCAAACAAGCGCATACAATAGCAATTCTTCTTCAAATAATGGGCAACAATTTCTAAATAGCAAGGAAGCTGAATGACTGTATGGGTATGGACTATGGATAGCTCTTTCATGGACTCTGCTCAGTTTGTATGTTGTAACTTATGTCGAGCCATTGCAAGTGAATTTAACAAAGCCAGCGAACAAAATTGACAAAAATATACACGATTTAGTTGCACATTTCAGCTTGGAGTTTGGTACTATTTCAACTGTCAATTCGACCTCGAACTTTGAAAGGTTCAAAACCTATCTGTCTCATGTTTGCTCACTCTATAATTTTGTATACGCAAAGGTTTTCATCATAACTTAATAACAAATTATAATTTAGGTTTTGGAAATCATTGGTTTTTTATCAGGAAGCAGTGCGCGCTAACACTCTCGGACAACATTTAGACGGCCATTTTTAACCACCAAATTAAACAGAGTATATAAATAAAATAACACCCGAAATAAAGTTTTTTGTTACTTAAATCTTATCTTTAAGTTTCTTATAATAGCTGAAAGTAACAAAAACATATAAATTTTACACAAGTAATATTTTATAAAGCAATAGTTTCAGCATACCTTCTGATGGGTCATATGCGCGTAACCATATTTGTTTACAATTAGAACGTCTTACCCCCCGCGAAGCCCGCATCACGGATGGTCCGCTCGATGTAGGGCCGTTTCTACGCCCTCTCTCCCTTCGCCCTGATGGGGGAAGAGGCGGATGGACGGGGGGGGGGCAGTTGCAGCATATCCGCGTTTTGTTGAAAGGGATATATTAGGATATATTATAAAAGACTATTATTAATCGTAATAAATTGTCCGCGAAAAGTTGATAAAATACATGTGGAAATGCGGGGTTTTTCGAACCTTCGTAACGCTTGATATAAGGATAAAACGCGGATATGCTGCAACTTTCATGCTTAATATTCTCAGTCATCTGGGTATGTAGTAATCTAATTTTATGCAATGTAATGTGTTTTTTTTCAAGCGCTTTTCAATGCAGTTATCGGTTTAAATATACCTAAAATTCCCGTTAAGAGATATGACAATTGCCGTACGGCCTACTTTTACGGAAACGAAAATTTAATTTAGCTACAATTGCAAAAATTTCATGCTTAATTTTCTCTGTTATCTGGGTATGTAGTAATCTAATTTTATGCAATGTAATGTGCTGTTTTTTCAAGGACTTTTCAATGCAGTTATCGGTTTAAATATAACTCAAATTCCCGCTAACATATGACAATTGCCGTTCGGCCTACTAGTTACGCAAACGCAAATTACAACTGCAAATTTCATGCTTAATTTTCTCTGTTATATTATCTGGGCATGTAGTAATGTATATTTTATGCCAATGTAAGGTGCTATTTTTCAAGGGCTTTTCATTGCAGTTATCGGTTTAAATATAACTCAAATTCCCGTTAAGATATGACAATTGCCGTACGGACTACTTTTACGCAAACGCAAATTACAACTGCAAATTTCATCAGCACATTACATTGGCATAAAATTACATTACTACATGCCCGGATAACAGAGAAAATTAAGCATGAAAGTGGCAATTGTAGCTAATTTTCGTTTGCGTAAAAGTAGGCCGTACGGCAATTGTCATATCTTTAACGGGAATTTTAGGTATATTTAAACCGATAACTGCATTGAAAAGCCCTTGAAAATATAACACATTACATTGCATAAAATTAGATTACTACATACCCAGATGACTGAGAAAATTAAGCATGAAAGTTGCAGCATATCCGCGTTTTATCCGATCAAGCGTTACGAAGGTTCGAAAAACCCCGCATTTCCACATGTATTTTATCAACTTTTCGCGGACAATTTATTACGATTAATAATAGTCTTTTATAATATATCCTAATATATCTCTTTCAACAAAACGCGGATTTGATTTTAAAACTGAGTTTCGTGTCAAATGAAGCCGTCCCCCCCGTCCATCCGCCTGTCGCCCCGTCCATCCGCCTGTCCCCCTGTCCATCCGCCTCTTCCCCCGTCCATCCACCTCTTCCCCCGTCCATACGCCTCTTCCCCCGTCCATCCGCCTGTTTTCCCCGTCCATCCGCCTGTCCCCCCCGTCCGTCCGTCCGTCCGTATCCGCATTTTTCGATTTTCCTGTAATTTACATTTTCGGCCGTTTCGTTTCGGCCGTTTCGTTTCGGTCGTTTCGTTTCGGTTGTTTCGTTTCGGTCGTTTCGGTGGTTTCGGCCGTTTCGTTTCGGTCGTTTCGTTTCGACGTTTCGCCTTTTAGTACATGCCATTCTAAACATGCTAATTGGTTGAAAATCTGGAACTTCCACTTGTCGCAAATTATACTAGCAGAATTCAGCAGCAGAACATTCCACACGCTCCAATTACAGATTTAGGCAGCAAATAAAAAAATATAGATGACTCGCTGACAATTTCTGGCTACATTCGATCGCCGCGTGTGACGGAAGCCGATATACAGCATAATACATCAATGGCATCAATCTGACTTAGCAACATTCGAGTAACCAAAAACGTAAAATTAAAAAAAAAGAATTTATATCTCGAACTTCGTGCTTTTCGCATCTGACTGTATTCAATACTTTAATAGAGTAGGCTATATAGCCTCCAGCAGAAAAACTCTTGGATTCTCAGGCACATTAATTATATATTGTAATAATTTACTCCAGATCCAGAACAATTTTACTCTTTTTTGGGAGTTGAAACGACCCCTGGAGTAAAATTAAGGAGTACAAATTACTCCATAATTTCTACACCTAAAAGCGAGTTTAGTTTACTCCTCCAGCGGAGTTAAATTGACTCCTGATGGAGTAAATTGTAGAATGCGCGCCGAAGTGGAGTAGTTTTAACTCTATTCTGGGAGTAGATTTTACTCCACAATTTTTACTCTCCCGAGTTGAGTAGTTTTAACTCCTATGGTGGAGTTAAAATAACTCCTTGAAATTAACAGTGAACAACGTGCGGAACGGCTACATTAGAATAGACAATGTTTTATTTGCGACCGTGCAAACGACAGTATTGCAAAACACTGACTCATGCAGTGACTTCCGGTCCAGTCCAGTCCGTGTTTTACAAATTCAGTCCGCATTTTCTCGGTCCAGTCCGTGTTTTACAACATGCCATTTACACCACACAACACTTGCCTAAAACTAATTGTCGCATGCAACCTGCTTATACAATTGTGTATTCTGTAAATCAAGTTTATCAACTAAACATATTATATAAAACATTTGTAATAATAGTGTATCTTGGCATGCTGCATGTAAGCTTTTGAAATGGATATAACTATAAGACAATATGTCTCGTCATATAATAGCTAACATATTTATCTTCATATTGTATTAAATCTCCACAACTTTACTTCCCTTCTTTTGTAAATATTATATACTGTATTCCTAACCATTTCTTTCTTTTATTTCATTTGACTATATTAATATAGGTGATTTTAAATCAAAAGCCTGTTAACTGAGGTTTCTAGTAGGTCTCTAGCCCTATCACTTGTAAATATGTCAGACTCTGTTTATGTAATCTTGTACTTATGATTGTTTGGTTATGTAATATAGGTTATGTACATAGGGGAAAAATAGATAAAAAAAAGATAGAAAGCACAGAACTCGTATATGTTGTTGTAGGTGAGTTGTTGAGAATGTATTTGATATACACTGTGTAATCACAACAGTTGTAAGCAGGTTCCATGCGACAGTTTTAGTCAAAAGTTCTGTCTAGTGTAAGTCGGCATATACCCGATTAAATGTTTTATTTGACTAATGAAGTGAACATCATTTAACTGATGAATGGATAAATTACTCCTTAAATTCTTCAATAGTCATCAAAATATTTTAGACAAGCTCCTTCCGCCATTTGGAAGTTGTTTTGTGCTGTGACATTGTTTGATTCAAATATCATACTGTCACATTGTATTTCTTTTAAAAAGATAATTGCCTGCCAACATTGTAATATAAGGGAAGGGGAGTGTCGATTCCAAAAGTCTAAATATATTTTGTGGATGTTTGTGGTTTTAAATTAAAAATTATAATCGAGAATCCTCACAATGTTCATTTAAAACCGAAACAATGGCTAGCTTTTAATAATCGCGACTGTGCCACGACACTCGGGCGGTGGAGACAGTGAAGACACAAACGTCAAAGATTCCCGACGCGAATTGCCTTTGTACATGAACAACAAAACCTTCATCGCCGAGCTGAAACACTGCTATCTATTTCCTGGGAAAGTGAGCCTGCAAGTGTACTGAACGACTTCCTGGGTCTGATATACATGACGTCATCTTCGTTCCCAGAACCTTTAGGTCTACTGCGCGGTACGAGGTTATAAGAGTGAGTGTCTGTCTTCGAATTGATCAGAAGCTGGTGAAGTCGTTGGAGGTAAAAGCAATATATTTTTCAAGCAAGACTATCCAGGTAAATGTTAGTTTTGATTATGTATGTAATATCAGGCTAGACAAATTCATGCAGCAGTTATGACTTGCACTAAAGCCTGACTTCCACTTCATCAGTGTAACAGTCGCGATTATTTAAAGCTAGCCGTTGTGATAGAGTTTTTATCAGTCTGTAGAAAGGTTTTAGTATATGAAATTTTTGAACGAATTCAGGTAATATACGTATTTTAGACCTAACGGGAGCAGCTTCGAAAAAATGCAACCATGGGCCTACGACAGCAAGCGAACCCGTCGCTCTGCGATTTCAATGCAGATTCGAGCATTAATCACAAGTTCATATATGTATATATACTAAGGTGATGCCAGTGAAACTGTAAATATTCGAGATTATAGGCATCTTACTCGACAGAGCTGAATATTGAAGGTTTTTGTTGATGGAAATTCCAAGGGAGAATTATACATTCTGTTTAATTTTTTTTTTTTTTGGGGGGGGGTTATATGGGGATACGCCTTTTCCACTGTATGGCCACTGTATGACCACTTGAGGCCACTGTATGTCCACTAAGCTACAGAGTCCAGTGGCGACAAAGAATAAGGTAGCAGCAGGGCGATGTATTATATATTATACACCAGTTTTTAGTATATATTTAAGCACTTCATGTATTAGCTCTTATTTCTGACGAAGGTTGTGGCATGCAACCGAAAATTTAATGTATTAATCATAATTATATTTTACTTCGATTCGTGGTAGATTTATAAGTCATTAATGTCGCGTCTACCGAGCAGATCTTTGACATTTGTTATATATAGCATTTGTAAATTCTGAACACGGCTAAGAGCCGTGTTGATATAACTCAATGTCAACATGGAAACGTCGGAAAATTTGTTTCTTTGTATTTCTTTGTGCTATATTATATTACAAATATAAAACTTTTTTCCGTATTGATATATAGTTATATCAACACTCGTGGAAATTGGGAAAATTTCTCGTTTTCTCAATTTCCACTCGTGTTGATATAACTGTATATCAACACGAAAAATGTTTTATATTTGTTAAATATATATATATATATATATATATATATATATATATATATATATATATATATATATATATATATATATATATATATATATATATATATATATATTCACCAAATTATCCATAAGGCTCCTGCCAATTCTTACACAAATTATCCATAAATATACCCTACGTTTTCAGGAAAACTTCAAGAATTTTACAAAAAAGCGCTAACCCTGCTATTCCCTCTCCTCTATTTAGGACTGGCACCTGTACAATTCAACATCTTTTATCTGGACTTTAAAATAATTTTACGACAATAACTTGTGTGTCTATAGAGACATATGTTTTATTTGCTTGGGAAGTTGTTTTACAAAACAGTACTGAGTAAAGTGAATACTCATTGCATGATAAGCAAATTGAATTGTTGAAACATTCTAGAATGTACAGAAAAACCCGTATCGTAATCAAGATTAGATTGGCTAATATTAATAGGCCAATTTATTTGTTAATTATAATTTTTGCTTCTTTTTCTATTCCAGACAAGATGCACACAATTGTACAACTATTCTTAATATCACTTGCCTGCCTCGCAATTTCCGCTCATATTAAAAAAAAATCGTATACCCTGAAAGTCACTGAAGATGTGTGTTTGGAACGAGGCTCCAGCAATTACAACTACCTTCCATACCTCCTCATTGGAACCCATCCTGGATACCCATTGAAAAGAAGTTTACTGAAATTCCAGAACATCCCATGCGAATGCACCTTTCCTTTAAAGGCAACCTTGCATATCTATTTCGTATATGCTCACAAGGCGAGCTTTATGTCCGTCGCTCAAGTCCCTGCTGTAAAAAGATACCTAGTAGCGTATACTGTACTCAAGTCATGGACCGAATCGCAAGCGACTAGAACGAAACGAAATAAGTGGGCCAGGTGGGACAACCAATGGTTGAAATTGGGCACGGACGCAGAATCACTCGCAACCTCTTCTACCACTGTGACACCGACACCAGGTTTGAAATTAATTTTAAATATTCAATCACCACAAAGGACTTTCAGGAACTGCGTAACTCCGCCAGCAAATTCAGTCAAGCAACCGTACATTTAGCCTTTCTCACGAAGGTCCAAATCCGCCATTTTCAGTACTATTTTATAAACAACGTAAAAATCTAAGCAATGTAAAAATAATTTTTCAAATATTTAACTATAAATCGATTCATAATGATTATACTTACAACTATAATTATAGAAAGTTTCATTTTCACTGTTTGCTATGCTTGTTCTAAAAAGGGATGCCACCCAAAAATAGCGGCGTGAGAAAGGATAATTAACAAACCCAGCCAAACATATTGCTTCATTAGTTCATTTACTTTACATGAAACACTGACTGACACCTGTATTCTAAAAGCTCACTCACACTGACTCAATGAGTAGAAGTTCAATCTGAGCTTTTCTCGAGTGTCATTGCTGTTTTCGAATAGCTGGAGAGCTAGTGTCATATCTTACTATGTGACTACTCACCCTTCAGCTATTCAAAAACAGCATTGGCACTCAAGAGAAGCTCACTTTAAACCTCCACTCATTGAGATGTGAGTGTGAGTCAGCTTTTAGAATACGCTGTGCTGAGTGGTTATATTACTACCTTAAAAAATAAGCAGAAACTCGACGTTTCGAGCGAAGGCCCTGCTACTAACTCTTGACAAAGGGCATTCGCTCGAAACTTCCTGCTATACTAACTCTTGACGAAGGGTCTTCGCTCGAAACGTCGAGTTTCTGCTTATTTTTTAAGGTAGTAATATAACCAATCAGCACAGCATTTTCACTTTGGTACTACCAACACTGGTACAGACAGTTTTAGTACTTTTAGAATACGGGAGTGACTACCGGTGATTTAAGTTTATTGATCCAGTTCTAAGACTGGATCAAAATGCTACAGTAGTTTAAAGTGGAAGTCAACTCCGTTTTGCGCATTCGTTCGCTCATAACAATGTGAGGACCCTCTCATGTAAACATTGCCCAAATTTCGAATGTTTTGAATTTTAACACCCTATTTCATATTCATTTAGAAGCAAAGCAAACCAAAATGGTGTTAGATATTCAGACAGTACATCATATTTTAAAAAATACAGCAGTATTTTTTAAAATATGGACTTGACGGACTTGACTTCCACGGACTTGACTTCCACTTTAATTATAGAACTGAATCAAAATTTTAGGACTGGATTTAATTCTGGGATTGGATCAAAACGACACAATTATGATTTGCCAAATCCTGGCCAAGTCCCGTACCCAGCAGCAATATTGCCGCTGCAAATGAATCCTATTCCTTTTGATTGAAATCTCATTTCCCCATGCAGTGGACAACAATAGGCAAATTCCAGCACCCACTTTACTCTTCTTAACTATCGACTATCAAAGAGTTCAGGCAACAACCCATATTTATAGAAATTTAAACATAAATTTACAAAGAGCGAAAATCTGCAACTTTTAATCTTTTTCTTTTTTAAATGAAGGCCGTAAATGGTACACTCTGGACGTCACAGAACAGGCACGTGATTGGAAATTTGGCGCAAACTATGGTCTACTCCTGCGAGATACTCACGAGCGAGTCCAAGGACGCGACTTTCGGTTTGCCAGTAATGCCTACCAGGATCGCTCAAAACATGCTTATGTAACCCTGACGTGCTGGGTCCAATATTGAGTGGTGCACAGGAGGAAGTAGTGAGGATATACATTCTCCTTTTGAATGGACTAAATAGATGCTAGAATCTTAGGGTAAAATGAATGGATCAGATGAATGGTACAATCTCAGACTATTAAGAAAGTCGCTTTAAATTTTTGTATTAGATGATTTAAAACAAAATGTTCTGTAACTTAAGGTTTATGTTTATTTGTTTTTTTGCATCATTACATTGTCCTTTTAATAAGCTGGATGGGCCAAGGCAACACCCCCACGTCTCATGTTGCTCTCCCGCCAAGTAAATCTATTTAGGACCCTCCAGTGAAAGTTCCTTATGTCTATAATACATGAAAAGCTATGAAGGCTGACTTCAGATTAGTGTTATTATATTCTTTTAAAACAAAGCCTTCTGTTTTACTGAAAGCTTTGTCTGACTAGATTGAATATTTAACAATATATACATTGTCCGTCGAAGGCAAGGTGAGCCTGAGGTGAATAATTGTTTTAGTAATAATTTCACAGGTGATTATTTGGAAGAAAATGTCCGTCTTCGTCATTTAATTGACAAAACGGCTTCGGCCGCCATTTCGAAAATCGCTTAGGTGATTATCGCGTTATAATGACTTCAAAGGCGACCAATCAGCGTGGCGAATAACCTATATTTGTAATTATACTAAACATGAAGATGAAATGCAGTATAAATCGAGCCCAACAGGCTCAAATATACTAAAACTTTCTGGACGGAAGAAGTGGGGGATAGTTGAAGTCCCCTAAATAACTTTTACGAGAATGGCCTGCATGTGTGTCTGTAAACATGCAATATAGTGAAGCGAATCACTAAGGTCTAGCTCTGGCTATATTGAAATTATCAGAAGATATGATTCAGGGGCGGATTCAGCGTCTCAATCTGACCGTAGCATTTTGGATGAAATCAACATGCGAGGCCGAAGGCCACGCCCTACCTAGGGGGGTTTGGGGGCATGCCCCCCCAGAAAATTTTTGAAATTTGAAGCACGCAAGTACCATTTCCTGCATTCTGAGCATCGGAATTAGATTTAAAATTTGTATAAAAGTGGCTGTTTTTCACACCAAAATAAAAAAAAAAACGCACAAAAGTTACAAAATTTATTCATCAACATACCACTTCGAACAACAGATTATCTTGAAAAAGTAAGATAACAGTAGTTCGAAAGTTTTCAAATGAAATGCATCTTGAAACACCGGCCCAACGACAGTTAGGGACAATGTTTACTGGCTAAGCAGCAGCATATATAGATCATCCCGAAACAGCAGGACAACTTATGGCAGTCAGGAAACTGAAATATTTTCTGTACTGTATATAGATTATCTCCAAGTTATAGGGAAAATGTTTATTTGTAGATCATCTTGAAACAGCAGCACAACGGCAATTAGGAAAAATGTTTATTTGTATATGTTTATTTGTACTAAAATTCGAGCAATACTGCAGGAATTCGCGCAGAGCTGGGTGCGCAAATTTTAGTACTGCGGGAAATATAATCCACGCGAAAAGCTTTGCGGTGTAATATTCACTCGTTGTTAGTAAATAATATAATGTAAGGCAATACCATATACGAACCTATAATATATGGGATGCTAATAAAAATTAGTTATTGTTATTGTTATTGTATTAGGCAAATGAAAACCATACATTTTGAAGTTTGAACTTTATACGCTTTAAGCCTGGTTCACATATATGCCTGCGACGTACCGGCGACGATGCCGATGGTAGCTTTAAAACGTAAATTATGTGAACATTGGTTCGCCGATTGCCTCCAGTGCCACAGTCACATCGGCGGTAGGCCGGGAAAGTTGACTTGAGTTCAACTTTGCCGGTATTTCGGCGGCAAGTAGAGGCATAATGATACAGTCGCAGGTATGCCGCAGGCATATGTGAACCAGACTTTACTGTTATCATGAATTTTGTTTTGACAAATATTGAAGTATTTGTTGTTATAGTTCTATTAATCAAACCAAAAGGAACCAACACGGAAAATTACTTGCGCGAATTTAAAGCTGCGCGAACAAGTTTCGCGAAATTGGAATGCGCGAATTTAAAGCTGAACGAAAATGAGTATACAACGCGAATTTTAATACAAGTAAGGTATACAATACATGGATTTGAAACATCTAACCATATATTTATGATATGTTATCCCAGGAAGCAGGCTCAGCTGTTGTAATTCTAAACTCTGTTAGTATACATGTAAACTACAATATAATATATCAGAGTGTAACTATTTCTATAAATTTCATTTACACTACTCACTAGTCTTTATAGACTACAGGTCTACAACTAATAATTACATGAGCAAAGTCTAAGATATAAAATATATAGGG